CTTATAGACACTCCTCTCCTTCAGTATGGGGAGAGCAGCTGCCACGTGAAAGTCTTATGAGCTGCTGCATGGAGAAGGGAGGAGACAAGCTCAGAGCACAGTGGTCTTCCATGCATCGAGGTGCAGCTCCTGGTGGCACGGATGTCTGGGGCTGGCTGAACTTCCCGGCCAAAGCCCCGTTCTGCAGCTCCAGCGAGGACATCTCAATGACATTGGTGAAGCGGTCCTTTAGCTCTCATAGCTCTTCATTGTGTTGCTGTGTGAGGCTAGGAATCTGGCTTGAGAGCCCCAGGCCACAGACAAGTCAAGCAGCTCGTGAGGCAGGAGCAGGGGCTCCTCTCCAGAGGCCCGGAAGTAGCTCAAATGCCTGAAGAACCTCAGGGACTCCACACCCAGGAAGTGAGATGCAGGCAGTGGACAGTGGACAGTAAGGGCTGTAGGCAGAAGCGGGAGCAGGACTTGGAGCTGATGCTGGTCCAGAACCCACTCACTGGTTGGCAGCTCCTGTTGGCTGAGGTTGGCAGTCAGCAAGGGAAGAGCTAGGCCGGGATAGGAACTTTCCAGGCTAGTTTATGACCCTGTGGGGGTTTGGGGAAGGGCTGCCCCTGTCCCTGGCCCGATGCAAGTGGGGGCAGAATCGTGCAGGGAGGGCTACACCCCAGCCTGCAGAACAGCAGCAGGGCTACACCTTCCATCCCCGCTTGCTGACGCCCTGCCCAGTTGATTCCCCATTGCTGGCAGAAATGAAGCAGAGATGGGACACCAGGAAGCTGGCGCCCTGGACAGGAAGGCTTGGCTAGAGCTGCGGTCTGCAGTGGAGACCTGGCAGAGATTAGGGCTCGCATGTGACCCTCTTGCCTCAGCCTCCCAGAGTGCTGGGGTTAAGATGTGCACCCCACACCCTGCTTATTTTTAGTATTAGAGTCCCCTGAGCACAGTGAGGATCTGGGACTCCTGTTGAGGCCCCTACCAGTAACACAGAGCAGGGCAGGACCCAGAGGAAGGAGTCTCATACTTCCTGCTGAAGACTTGAAGGATTAAAGCAGGCAAAGACAAGATTAACGACAGTAAAGCAAGGGCAGCCATTCCGACGTAGAGTGGAAAGGGAGCAGAGACGAGGTCTTTACATTTCAGAGGGCATGAGAGTCACTCGGGGTCCTCTGAAAAATGGGATTCCTGAGCTTCAGCCCTGACAATGAACCTCAGTAGCTCTGGAGCCCACAATGTTTGTTGTTTACTTTAATAAAGCCTTACAAATCAGATGTTTGCAGCACAGCACAGTTACATTCCTTTTGGAGGTTGGTACATGAATAGCGCATGTCTTCATTGTGTTTGATCCCTTCCCACTCTCCCCCTTGTCCCCCAAGATTCCCTCCCACATTTCCAACAGGCCTTCATTTTTGTGTCCTTTAACTCCTTTACTTATGTATTAGATTGCTCAGGTAATGTAATATGTAACTATCTGTGTCTGACATATTTCATTTAACGTTATGGTCTCAAATCCCATCCATTCTCCTGCAAATGACAATTTCCTTCTTTATGGCTGAATAACATCTCTATCTCTGTCTAATCTATCCATCCATCCTTCTCAATCACATTTTCATTATCCATTTGCCTGTTGAGGGTATCTAGACTGTTTCCGGATTAGATACTGTGAGTTGTGCTGCTATAAACAAGGGTATGCAGGTATCACTATTGTGTGCACGTAACACTATTGTATTGTACCTTGAGAATATACTCAGGATGGGACTTCTACTTTTAGACTGTTGCAGAATCTCCATATTGATTTCACAATGGTTGAACTACTTTATATTCCCACCAATATAGAGGTTCCTCCCCTCTCCTTGACATCCTCACTAGCATTTTTGTCTTGATGATAAACTCTTAATTTTGGAAACATTTCTTGTAAATCTAAAATTACTCCCAAGTTTAAAAAAGTTGTCAGGATTCCACACAGTTCTTGTGTGCCCATACTGTTAAAATCCTACACTATCACAGTGCATTTGTTCCAACTAAGGAGTCAGTGTGGTACATCACGGTTCAATCCAGACTTCGTGGGACTCTCCACCAGTATTATCTGTTTTGGGATCCCATCCACTGCATTTCAAGAAGCTTCTTTTCCCAAGCACTTTCAGTTGATGTGAGCCATATGGCTCGGGGACATCTTGAGAAAAACTGGAGCATTTATAGAGCTGAATAAAATTGGATTTGCCCCATCCCCACGTCAGGGAAATGAAAGCAACTTTAAAGCAGAAAGGGGATAAATTGGTGGAGATGGGTAGAGATTTTAGAAATGGAACCCCCATTAGAAGACATGGTGTTACCCTGAAAGGGGACATCGAATGCCTGATTAAGTACTAGATTTTGGAGGGGAGGCTGAAGATACATCCATAGGGTTATGAGCAGGTCAGGAGAATTGATAAATGTAGTTAAGTTGTGCATAGCTAATTTAGGGAACACAGGAAGGTTCAAATAGGTGAGCAAAGAAGATGACTAGGGGTCAGAGAGCCTGTGCACCATATAAGCCCTGCATTTCCACTGAGCCATAGGGGTGCAGTCTCGTGACCCCAGCACTCTGAGGCACTGAGACAGGGGGACTGCAAGTTCCCTAGTGAGACTGTGCCTTTAAAGGAAAAAGTAATCAAAAGCTGTGGATGCAGCTGAAATTGAAGGTCCTGGGTTCAATCTACAGCTCTGTGAAACAAAAACTGTCAATTCCTTGAAGCTGGTTCTAATGCTTTGGAAGTGGGTCACAGAAACCAACATCAACCGTTGTCATGGTGGGCCGTAGATGGAGGTCACAGGGTGAAGTGGGATGGTCCTGCTGTGGAAAGGCCCAAGGACTTCAGCAAATCACAGGTGGGAGGGGAGGTGGAAGCGCACACCGTTAGGGGTGTCACTTGTCACACTGAGCACCAGAGTCACCATCTTAGGGATACAGGTAAAGAGCTGTGAAATTTGACAAGGGTGAAGCTGCAGCAATACTCTTTCTTAAAGGTGACTCCTTTGGGTCTGCTTGGAAGGCTTCTGAAGAAGACACTACTTTCTTACTGGCTCTGGGACTATCACTGAATTTCCCTCCTCACATTCACGGTGCTTGGTGCTGCAGAAGTTCCTAATAATCAACTAACCTCACCTGTCCCTTTTCACAGTGTTAACGTTTTTCCCATTAGATTCAGAATTCAATCTTTTTTAACTTTTGTATTTTCACTTTCCAGGTCGTCCTTCCACCTTGGAGATCCTACACCACTAATCAGTAGTCTTAACATTTACCTCACAGGAAGTAGTTTTCTTGACACTCTCATTTAAGATACTTCAGTGAAAGTTGCGTTAGAAATCAAGTGGATCATATTGTTCTAGGGGAACAGGCCCTACTGAAGGGCTGCTAGGTTATTAGTATTTGGTGACACAATTCCAGGCCTTCGAGGCCCTGCAGTTAGACTTTCATTAATCTAATGCTTGACATGTTAATAGATTCTGGATGCAACCTACAGATTCAGGACAGCAACTAGCACTTACCTGGGATATTTCTGTGCCCGGTATCAAGGCTTAGCAAGTAGCATCATATGCAAGAAGGCACCTCTGGGTGAGGGAAGTCAGCCATAGTTACAACACGGCTAAAGAGGCGGGCTGGGTGGTGGAAGATAGTTAAGCTAAGCTGCGTGCCACTGCCAAACTAGTTTCCAAAACTACTGCCTGCTTCAGCACAGAATGAAGATTGAACTGCCTGAATAACAGGCTTTTGCTTCTTTTGTAAGCAAAAAATAAGATGTAGGAAACTAAGCAAGAGTTCACCTGTTTTAAACTAGGACTCATGAGGGAGGAGGATCACAGTTTAGAGCCCACAATGACCAACTTAGCTTAGTGAGAAACTGTCTCAAAAGGAAAAAAAACAAACAAAAGACCGGAAATGTAGCTTAGTGCAAAGGCTCTGGGTTCAATCCCCAGTATAGCAGTGGGGGACGAAGGACTCGGTTCGGTTGGGTTTCAGTAGGACCTTTCCGATGTGTGGAAACCTGAGATGAACTGCCCTACCAGCACCTTGGTTTCTGTGCCTCACAATATGCCAGAGAACTGGTAATGTGGCCCAATCTCCGGTTTTCCAAAATGACTGTATGACCTTCCAGAGTCAAGACCAAGTGGGAAGAGCAATTTTTAGGGATTCTATTTATTCTTCCAACTTGTTCTTGAAGTTACAGATTTATAGCCAATGGACCCCTCCCAAGTTTTTTTAAATTAATTTTTGATTATTCATGAACTTTTCCGCTGAGAAACTGACATAGGGTGAAAATCACACTCATTCTACATTTTTTTCTTTGTAAATTAAATCAGGTTGTTTATCTTAACCAGCAATGTAACAAAAGCAAAGGGATCAGTCATTTAGATTTAACTGTAGATAAAGAAAGATTACAAGTGAATGAACATACATCAATGCTATCTAGATTAAGAACTTCTGAAGCTGAGTGACTAGGCTTCCATATTAAAGAAACCTTGCAGATATTTGGTCTGTTGGTAATGAAATATATAGTTGAGAATAAATAGTGTGTTAATGTCAACTTATGTGGCTTGTTTTAGGTGACTACTGTATAGCAACTTCAGTTCCAGTACCTTCATTTCTTTACCATTACTGCCTACAAACTTCAAACACCTGATGTTCTAATTCTATACTAGTCCAGTCACTGATTTCTCTTTGCTATATATCACCTGAGTTTATCTTCTCATGTGCTTTCCTCTTTTAGACACACTGTCTATCTACAATATGTTCAGGTGGAAAAAGAGGCTAAGCAAAAAATGTTGATTATTAATTACTACACCTAACCAGAAGCCCTGAATCATGTCAGCTTTAATGGAGTCAGCTTGAGAATACTTTAAAACCACTAAAAATGACACAAAACATTTAAATTCTGGAGTGATGTAATGTTATGTGAAAAGAAACATGTTAACACACCAGCTGTATTTTAATCAAAATAGTTTATTTTAAAAATATAAACATGGGGATGAAAACCCACTTTAAGTTGTAGCATTTTTTTCAACATAAAGCTGCAACTAATATTCACATCTTCAAGCTTGAAACTCCATAAATAATTTTCTTTAGAGGTGGTAGATTGTGGTATTTCTTATGCCACTGGGTATCACTTATGTCTTTTTTAAAATGGTGGAAACTACAGCACACAATGTTGCGTGAGGCACTGCTACACTGGGAGAAAGTATTCCTAGCCCACAAGAGCTTTGTTACAGGCAAGATTCCTAGGATTACATTTGAAAAGGAAGAGACATAGATTTCATATGGAAAGAGCACTGATTGTTTTAATATTTCAACCTTAGATGACATTGTAAGTCTCCTCAAATTACTTAATCTCTGCTCTTTAAAGTCTTCAGTAATGTTCTTAAGGCTCAGGTAAGTTCCCTATTAAATAGGAGGACTTGAAAGGGGCACCTTGAAATGTAGGCTAAACTTTAAAAGAAACTTTCATATCACTTGCTGCTATTGGGGTCCAATTCCTTTTCATTACATGTGAATTAACATTGCTCCTAAAAATCTTCCTTCACAAAATCTAGAGAAAAGAAATCTAGGTGACCAAAGCAGATAGTTCTCAAAGAACTATTTTAAAATATGAGGAAAATTCTTTGGCAATACAAAGCATCCCAAAAATCTTAGTGTAATTTTAAGCTTTGATACCAGTAGAAGTACAGAAGCTACAACATTATAAAATATCATCTAAAAGTTTTAATTTTGTAAATGTAAAATATTAAGCTTTTAATTTTAATTTTTGTTCCAGTTCCTCTTTCTATTCCCTTTAAGAGAGACCAGAAAAAAAATTAAGAATAAAATCTTAATATTCCAAATTTGCAAAACTGAAACTGTCAAACGCTGTCTGGTAAAAGTTTGTGGCTTGTACACCTGCTACAGTCCCTGGAAGGCACAGGCATAGTAGTCTATGGCTTAAAACTGCACTGAAACTTTTGGGACGCCTTGTACTTCACTATCGATGGGCAATCACTGGACCTCTATGTCGGTTTGGATTATGAAAATATCTTCTAATATGTTTACTTAACAGCAGGATAATCATCAGAAAATGAGAATCACCATTAATCGTTCACAAGATGCAGCATGGACTTCATAGAAATAGACAGTCAATAGCATCAACTGATGCTTTCTCTTTAAGACCACAAACATGTCACAGTGCTACCAAGCAGTGCTTGCAAAGAACATGACTGGCAAGTGTTATCCAGCAGCTTTTTGGTTCAAACTGATTGACAATAATGACTAGCAACTTATGATATCATGGGAGGAAGAACCTTCAATACCTGACAATGCTACAGTCTACTTCTAAGTGGTGTCATGAGTGTGAACACTCCCATGTTTGGGGCTGGGTAAGGGACTCAGTGGGAGAGACCCTGCTACGAGGACATGGCTAAGACCCTGGGTTTTATTTTCAGCCCCATGCAATAAAAAAGATCCCCACATTTCAATAGTAATACTACATCAACCCTAAAGGCATATGCAGCAACATGGGGAGAGGCAAGTAGAAAAACATACAATTATCTGGGTAATGTTTTAAATCTAATTTTTAAAAATAATTAAAATTTTAACTTAGTTTAAATTTAAACTCTCAATTCAAAAGTCTCCCAGAGCTCACAGGCATTGGCCGGTGGAGTAAGCAAAAGCCAGAGTGAGCCAGGAGCTTCTGCTCTGCAGACCTGGCAACTCTGCTCACATCAGTGAGGATGGAAGTGCGCTGCTGCTTTGACAGGGCCTCTCTCCTTCCCATGCAGTGCAGCTGACACTGCCCAGGAGGCTCTTAAATTCAAGGCCTTTCCTTTTGGTGAAAATACTAACTTAGCTGTTGCTGTTGCTGTTGTTGTTCTTGTTGTTGTTGTTCTTGTTGTTGTTCTTCTTGTTTTAGCAAGAGGGATGGTACTTCTCCAGCTCTGTAAATGAGGGCTCCATGATGTCATAGCCCCCATTTCTCCCTTCTAAGAGAGGACGGCTTTAGACAGTCCGATGCCAAAAACGCCATCACTGGAAGATCTTCTCATAGCAGCTCTGCGCAAGTCTTTGTCTTCATCCAATCCAGACATGGCCTAGGAAAGTCAATCAAACAGAACACAGGAAGAATTTTTTAAAAGACTGAAACCTTAAAGAAAAAAGTCCTATGACTAATGTTCAGTCATGCTTCAGACTCCTCAGCCACTTGGTGGTCACTGCTGCTTTGCCTGCCTGAGGCCTGCATGCCAGGTCATGAGGATGCTACTTCCTGCCAATTCACTAACATCCTTAAGGGTGATGATTCCATTACCAGGAAAGGGGAAGTTTGTTCAGTTACAGTCTTTACCAATGGACTTTCCTAAGATGTCAAAGGTTTTGTGATATGCTAGGCTCCTAACAGCAGCATCTGTTACCTGTGCAAGTATTCATTAAAACGATAAACCTACACCTGTGCAAAACAATCGGTAAACACTGGCTCAGCTACTCCAACTCGACCTGATCTTCCTTAGTTATTACTAACTGTAAGCAACTTCCACAGAGGGAAGTGTGAACTCTACTGTAGGGCAGGACAGGCCTAATGACTGAAGCATGAAAAGCTGCTCCTTTAGGTGAACATGTTCCAAAATGCAGTAAGTCCCAAATTACAAGCTAGTTCTGTTCCAGGAGAACATTCATGACTCAGATTCATCCGTAAGTCTGACAAAGTGAGTCTTACACACTTTTGACACAAATATACAATGTAAAGCACTAAAAAGAAACCCAAATGCGAGATCTGTTCCTATCTGTGAAAGTTGGTGAAGTGAACATTCGTAAGTTGGGGACTTGCTGTGCTACCAAAGCACACAGAAAGTGTGATGTGAATCTATGTGTCCATTTCAGGTCTGAAGTATTTTGGCATAAGCTCACCTAAAGTCATAAGCCATGTTTATTATTTTGCCCCATGTGAGCTACCACTTACATTTAAAACCTATGTACTTCCAACCCCCAGTATTTGAAACACACACACACACACACACACACACACACACACACACACACCACATCCTAAGTACAGGATTCTCATATTAGTCACTAAGGTTTGAATTCACAGGTTTGAACTATGATAGCTGAACTCTGACATGAATCTGCAAACTGAGTAAAAGACAGGCACAAATAGTTAAGTGAGCTGTATTTGTAGACATAAGGGAAACAACCACAAGGAGTTAATCATACATGGCTATGGAGAAAGGCAGAGGTTCAAAAGGAAAACCAATACAAACAGATTAATTCTGATTAAAATATTCTGGATTACGGTCAGAAAAGAGATAATATCTACTTTTTGAGAATAACATGGATCTCCATAAACCATGACCAAGTTGGATTTACCCCAGGGATGCAAGGATGGTTAAACATATGTAAATCAATAAATGTAATACGTGATGACAACGATGAGTCAATATATTCCACTCCTCCTAGGGAAGAGGAGGTGAGCCAATCCCAGCACCCAGGAGGAGGCTCCCCCGGTGCCATTCCATCACTCCTAGGGCAGAGGAGGTGAGCCAATCCCAGTGCCAAGGAGGAGGCTCCCCAGCCACCATTCCACCTCTCCCAGGGAATAGGAGGTTAGCTGCGCAGTCGCCAGCAACACCACCTCCTCCCCTACCCTGTGGAAATGAGAAGACACATAAACAAGCCTCAAAAACAGACTTCCAGATCATCTACAGCAACCCCAAAGGGAAACTAGATGGAACACTCTGATACTCAACCACCTGGACTCCCTGAACTGGCAACAAAAGAGGATCTGGGAAAAATGAAATCTGAAATAATTTCTCAGATAACAGCAAAGATTGTGCCCATAGTGCAAGACATGATTAATAAATCTACAGAGGACACAGATAAAAAAAAATAGAGGATCTGAGGAACATGATGGAATCCCAACACAGGAAACAAATGGAATCCATAAAGCAGATGCAAACTGATTTCCAGGAAATTAAAAACTCCATTGAAAGTCTGCACAGCAGAATGAGCGTATGTGAGGACAGGATTTTGGATATAGAAAATAAGATTGCAGGGCCGGCGATTTAGCTCAGTGGTTCCAGTGCCTGCCTCGGAAGCACAAGGTCCTGAGTTCGATCCCCAGTACCCAAAAAAGAAAATAAGATTGCAATTAGTGACCAGGAAAAGAAAAATTGCTTTAAAATTGTAAGAGATCATGAGAAAGCAATCCAGCAGCTGCTAGATGATGCAAAGAAGAATAACATAAGACTGATTGGAGTCAATGAAGAAAGAGGAGAGAGTGCAGATGA